CAGTTATTCGTTTTCCCCAAATAGTTATTGGCTTATATTTAGGTCAATAGGCCCTAACCAGACCATCTTCCCTGATCCATCAGATGACCACTAGGTGTCATGCTGGCAGCCTTGAAATACAAAATCTCAGGGTTGGAAGGAATTTCAGAGGCAATTTTGTCCAACTCTTATCTGAATAAAGATCTTTTCTACAGCATATGAAACAAGTGGTCCTTCCTTTATCAAGCAACCTATCCCACTTTTGGATAGCTCTAATTAGCTTTTCCTTATACCTGGCCTAAATATGTACCTCTGCAATTTTCTCCTTTCCAAACTAGCCACCCCCAGTTACTCCAATTGATCCCATGTGACTTGATCTTGAGGCCCTTTACCATTCTGGTTGTCCTCCTCTAGATACTCTTCAGTTTTTCAAAATCCTTTCTAAAATGTGGTACCAAGAATTGAAAATAACACAGTTGGTAGAATATGGTGGGATAGTTCCCATTCAGGCCCCAAAAGTTCTGATACTCCCTCGACGTAGCCTAAGATTACACTGTTGGTTTTTTGGTTTTGGTAAAGGGTTGAGGGAAGCTGTCATATCACTGTTGTGCAGTCATCCAATTTACTTCCATTTGAATGATGTTATTTAAATCCATAAACATTTATTAAGTACTTACAGAATGCAAAGCTCTGGTTGAGGTGTTAGAGAAGATACAAAAGTTAGAAAGGTGTGATCTCTGCCCACTCTTTCTATTTTCTGGAACCTTTTATGTCTGGGATAGTGGAAAGAACACTGGAAAAAAATAAATCCATGTAGCCCACCCCACCCCCCATACACGGATTTCTGACCACTGGCCCACCACTTAAATGAAGGAGAAGAGAAAACAAAATAATATGCCTCTAAAACTAAGATAAGCAAACCACAGATGAATGAGCAATACCATGGATAAGGTTACAGATAAAGTGATGGGACACTGAAGTTTTCATGCACACTGAGGATCTTCTTTAATCTGTTGTTGTTCAGTCATTTTTTAGCTGTGTCTAACTCTTTGTGACCCTATTTGGGGTTTTCTTGGCAAAGATACTGGTGTAGTTTGCCATTTCTTTCTCTAGTTCATTTGACAGATGAGGAAACTGGGGCAAATAGGATTAAGTGACTTGTCCAGGGTCACACAGGTAGTAAGCCAGATTTGAATTCAGAAAGATGAGTCTTTCTGACTTCAGACCCTGCTTTCTATCCAGGGCACCACCTAGCTTGCCCTTGTTGAATATAGTAAGCACTTAATAAATAATGAATTAAATTAAATGGGGAATATATTAAATATTTTGCTTGAATTGATTAATAATTATTCATTAAGTAGTTGCTATAGTATATACTCAAAACAATATTAGGAGATGTAGGATATAAAATAATATATTAGGATATATAGGATATAAAAGAAATACAGGACACCATCTTGTTCTATAGTCTTTACAATCTAATGGGAAACCTATGAATCCTGTATATAACACAGTACTAGCTGTGGACAAATCATTTAACCTCTTTAAGTCTGTTTCAGAGTGTCAGGCCTGGAGTCAAGAAGACTCACCCTCACCTTGCTAGGTGTTATTCTGGGCAACTTATATGTAAAGTGCTTTGCAAATGCTAACATACTATGTGTCAGGTGTTATTATTATGAAATAATCAGAAAGTACATGGCTAGTATAGTCTTTTACTTATTAAAACTAGGCCTTTTAGAAGGAACTTTTCAGAGCTAGTACTTTTTGGAATGCATTGGAAAATGAGAAGTACACCTGTTCCTAGCATTCAATTGACAAACATTTATTAAGCACTTACTTTGTGCCAGGCATGATACTAGGCCTTGGGGATACAGAATGGAAGGTAATCTCTCTCTTTTTTACACTAGATCTCTAATTTCACCAGTATGGGAAGCTCCTAGTGAGGGATTTCTACCAATAAAGATCATAAATTCATAGATTTAGAGCTAGCAGGGATTTTAAAGGTCAGATGAAAAAAATGAGGCACAGAGAAGTTAAATGACTTACCCAGGTCACACAGCTAGCAAGTAACTCAGCCTAGATTTGAATGCAGGTCTTCCTGACTCCAAGTCCAATGCCCAAACTAAGCCATGTACCACCTTTTTTTTTAATCTTAGCACTATGGTGAGACAAAAATGTATCTTTCTCTTCTTCATGGTGGGATATAGCTTTAAAAGTACACTGGCTAGTCCTTAAAAAGACTTCATTTTATTATGTTGATATATAATATATAACAATTCAATTAAATAATGGGATCATTTTCAATTTATGCCAACAATCCCTTTTGCTTCTAGACTGTAAATTCCTTTGTATGGTCCTTTGTACCTAATAAAGTGCTCTGCACAGAATAAGTGCTTAATAAATGTTTTCAAATTATTCTATAGCCAATGTTCTTTTTTTCTCATTAATGTCTCTACTTCCTCATTATCTCCTTGTTCCCCAAACCAAAAGTCTACTTTTTCCCCACTTTAAAAAATCCTCTCTTCATCTACATCCTCACTCATTTACTTAATGTTAAGTACCTACTATGTGCCCACGGTCCCACCATTTACCCAAATCCTAAGGTCTTTCCCATCTCCTTGCAAACTAGAAATGCTCCCTTGAGTAAGCAAAATAACCTGGACTTTATGACCCTGGAGCTTTATAATGGGTGAGCTACAAAAAAACAAACAAAAAACAAACAAACAAAAAAAACCCTAAAGTTTTCTCTTTCATTTTTACCCCTCTTCACTGAGGGTCTGGGTGCTAATTAGACAGACTCCCATAAGGAAGGCTGATATTCCTTCCAAGTTTGATATAGAAAGGACAAATAACCCGGCAACCCAAATGCTTTCCGGAACCAATGGAATTGTAATTTCAGTTGCTTCTGAAGTGGCATCAGAGAGCATGCTGGACCCTACACAGTGGAAAAGCAGAGAGCATAATTCTAAGGTTCTTGTCAGGTTTGGATTAGGGGATGTGACTTAAGGGAGGAATAAAAAGCCCCCCCCCCCCAGTATTTGCTGCTCCAAATTTAAAGACTGGGCCCAAAGCTCTATTCCAGGAGAGGTTGTGGTACTCTCCACATCTGGTGGTTGGATGAATTTTTTACAGACAGGCAAAAGGATAAGGACTGTAAAAGTAAATGAAAAGAAATATTAATGGAGGGGAGAAGAGACAAAAGAAGCGCAAAGCAAAGAAAACTAGTGTGTGGAGAATGGGGTCATAAGATCATTGGATTTAGAGTTAGAATTAGCCAACAAGCATATACCACACATGCCCTGTCCAGGTGCTGGCCACACAAATAAAAAGCAGGAAGAGGGGCTTTAACGATTAAGATTGAATAGAATATCTCTATACTTTAGAAAAGGAAAGCGAATGGAAAGGAGGGCAGAGGACGAAAGATAAAAAGACGAGAAGGAAATTGAAGAGAAAAGTAGGAAAGCTGAAGTAGCTTGACTAAGGGACCTCTTCCATGCGGGCTCCCCCAGGCCCAGCCTTGCATCTAGCATTGGTCCTCCCTTCAGTGAGCTCTGGGTCCGGCAGAGGGCAGCAGCTCAACAGGAGAAGATACCTAAAACCTGCCAGGGCTCTGGAACAGAGATGGGGGGCGGAGTGGACAGAGGGCGTTTGCACTTTTGGGGGAGGGTGGAAGAAGGAGGAGAAAGTTTTCATCCGGGACTGAAGCTTGTGGGGCTCCGGCCACCTAATGTCGGGGTCTTCAACAGTGCCAGGCATTTTGGGGAGGAACGTTCCTCTTGGGGAAGGACGTTCCTCTTGGGGAGGGACCCCCCCCCCCCAACTCTGCGCCCTGTGGCGTCTTACTCGGCGTGGATGAGAGCGGTGCAGAGAATCGCTTCCTTCCCAACCTCCGAGCCACATTGGGAGAGGCAACGTAGTTGTGCGACTGAGGCTAGGGGTGCGTGCGTGTGTGTGTGTGTGTGTGTGTGTGTGTGTGTATGTGTGTTGGGGAGGACCTCAGGATACTCAAGAAATTGGGTAATGCCCTTCCCACTCCTCTCCAGAGACAAAAAACAATTCAGCTCAGAATTCTGTCCGCTGAGCCCTGAACGCCACTCCTAGGCTTCTCTCCAAAGCCGTTAGCCCAAGCCCGAATTGGGGACTGACGCCTCAAGCACCCCGAACTGGAGACGCGCGGGGAAATGCCACGAGCCCAGGCAGTCGGCTCGGGAGTCGCGCTCTGGTCTCTCTCCGCACTCTAAGAAAAAGTTGTACCCAGGTCCTGGACGGCATCGGGGACCAACGCGAGCGCAAACTGCGCTCTCTCCTCTGGGCCCCCCCGCGAGCGCCCGGGAAGCAGCTTGCCCAGAGAACTCTAACAGAGAAAGAGTTGTCACACACCCTCCCCCGCCCAGCCCCCCCTTTTCTCCCCTCCCCCCGCTCAGTTTAGCACTTGGTTGCTAATTCACTTCTCCAAAAGTAGCTGCTCTCTTAAGCGAAGACCCAGGTCCCTGCTTAGGCACCCCGCTAAGATATCTTCCCAGGTGCGCCTAGTCCCGAGGTGCTAATTCTGCTTAAAGAATGAGGGAATAAACCTCTCTCCACTCTGCCCGCCCCTATCCCGCCTTCCTTCCTCCCTCATACCTAGGACCCCTGTGTTTAGCTCCTCTTCTCCCCACTCTCCCCATCCTCCCCACCTTCCAGGCAGGATTGGGGGCTGGGGATTCGGGGAGGGGGTACTTAGGACTTGGGGAGTGGTCACTGGGAGAAGAGAGGGATGCAGGGCGTGAGGGACGCGGGGAGGGGGTATACTGGTGGTGGAGGAGGGGCGGGGTGGACTTGACCAAGCGAGCGCCCGTGACCTGTTGCGTGCTGATTGACTTAAGCCTTTCTCCCTGATCGGAGCTGAGTGGTTTATGTAAATAGAGGATTTTAATTCTATCGTCCTAGGTAGGATGGACCAGCCCCCCTTGCCTCTGCCCTCATGTCCAATAAGAAGAGACCCAGCTTGACACCTGCCTATATACAGAGCGAGAGCTAAATCTTCCACACTGATCCCCGGGACATATATATTAGATATATGCATATATATACACATATACACACTTGCTTCTCTCTATATATGAGAGCTAGAGAAACTCCAAGGCAAGGAAAAAGGGGTGTGTGCTAGGAAACCTTAAGACCATGACTTCTAGTAAAATTGAGATGCCTGGAGAGGTGAAGGCAGACCCCACCGCCCTGATGGCATCTCTGCACCTTTTACCTTCGCCCACACTCAACCTTGAGATCAAATATACCAAGGTAAGTAGACACCATTGTCCTCTTCCACAGGGGTTCCTTTCTAGAGGAGGGTTTGTTTTAAAAATTGATTAATGGGGGTGGGGGACAATGAGCTGAAGGAGGCTAGAGATCCGTTCTAGTCTGACCTTCCCAGATCCTGCGACTGAAATCCCAAAGAAACAGCTTTGCACCACAAGAACGCTTAAGCAGATCCGCAAAGGTCTTGGAAAGCTCCAAACTGGTGGCTTCAGGGTAGACTATCCTCAACCCTTTTCTGCTTTCTGCTGGTCTAGGGTGACCCTCAGACATTTATTTCTCTTGCTACTCACTGCTCAGAGAAAGTTATATGAACAACTTCAACTTTTCAGCGGCCAAAGGAGAGGGTCTTCTTTCCCAGCTTAATGTCTTTGCCCCATGGGGCTTCTTGGTTTTTCACCGTTTTAAGTGTTCCAAGAGCGCTCCTTTCTGCTAATTTGTTTTACGTTGGACGAAATCTCTGGACTAATTTTGCCCTTGAATTGACATTGTTGCTGGTGCCTTTTTTTCCGGTAGAAAATTGTGAAGACGGAAAATATTAGTGCTTTTTTTCAAGAATTGCAAGAAAACTAATAATATTATAACGTAGCCCTGATACCCACCAGCATTTCATCTCAATTTTGCAGAGTGACTTTTCTTCTAGGAACCTTAGAAACTAAACATTTAAGTGTATGTTAGCAGGTTCACTTTGGAGTTCAAGTTTTTTATAACCTAGAATCTAGAAGGGTTTTTAATTGTTACTGTAAAAAAAAAAAAAAGAATACACTTTCTTCTTTTAACTATCAATCGTCTTTAGATTTCTTTATTCCTTTTTTCTCCATCGAAAATTGTTAGCTAAAAATTAAACCATACTTCCTGGGAGATTTGTAACTGGCATTAAAAAAAATAAAATAGAAGGAAGAAATACTATGACAGATTTCTTGTAGTTGGTTTTTAAAATACTCTCGTCTTCCTTCATTTGTCTATTTTGTTTAATGGTTTTCTTCTTTAAAAGAAAAAAAAAAGGTTCACCTTTTAATTTTTTTTAAGAGACCAGCACTGAAAGGTGTTTTCTGGCAAGCTTTTGAAGGTGAAGTTCTGTTTAGTATGAAAATCAGTTGTTATATTCCACATTACAGTTTATGCTAAATAAAAGGTACTGAATTGAAGCCTCACATTAGAAGTGCTTTCACTTATATTGAGTTTTAGGAACTAAATGAGGATAATTCATATTATGAATGACAAATGGATTTCTTCTACCTGTTAGGTTTATGGGGGTGTGACAAATCAGGGAAGAGGGGTAGAATGAAAGGTTATTAATGGTTACAGCTATTTAACCTTCTTTGCATAACAATTGTGCCAAACTTTTCTCAAATTTTGCAAATAGGGAACAAGGCAGGGGAGGCTGGAAGGGGAGGGAGAAAGATTTCCAAATAGAAAAGCTGCAATGAATAGCAGGTCCCTGGCTTCCTCAATATTAAAACAACATTTTAATTAAAAATAAGAACTAAGATCTAATAATTTTCATTGGCTATGGACTAGAGAAAAATAACGATGGCTTTACTGGCACATTTAAAAAAAAATCTCTCACGGCCTTTTGGGGTTTGCCTTTACTGCTCTACTTTTGGCCATGTTTTCTGTATAGCCTCCTCAGAGAGCTAAAGTTAGGGCTAGAGCAGGTATTTGTCTCAGGTTTTAATTTTGAGGCTCCTTGGGTTCTCTTGTTCAGCTGGACTCCTCCCCTCCTCCCTTTTCCTCTCCCCTGGCCGCTTCTGTAGGAAAGACAACTGATTTATAGCTAATTGGAGCCTTTAATGTGAAGTCTTGGCTGGAGAAGACTTTTATCTGGTATCCACTTTCCCACTTATTACAAAGAAAAACAATTAGAAATAAAAGAATGGATTGCAACCTGATTCTTTAATTTGTGGGGAGGAGGCACTTCATTTCTTGTGTGACAAACAGCCCCCATAAACACTAACCCTAATCCAAAGGAAAGCACTTTCCCCCAAACTTGTAAAATCAGATATCTGTGAACATTCTCAGCAGCTTTACTCCTCTGCTATTTAGCCTGGACGCCTAAGCTTGCATATATTCCAAAGCAATAGGGCAAGGCACTTCTTAAAATCCTGAGCACCAGCCACAGGGAAACTTGCTTTTTTTCTTTCCTGATAATTTAGCATTGCAGTTACTCACCCCAGGGTAAAACAAGGAACAGAAAAAATAGCCATTCCAGTGATGTCCTGAATTCTAAAATAAATAAACATAATCAATTTGCAAATATTGGTTTCAAAAATGATCCAATGTAAAATGGATAATTAGGAAAATGATCACCTTTTTAGAAGCCTCTAAGATAAAGGTACAAATTTAAAGTATCATATTTTTAGGGTTCATTAGATAACACATATAAAACAGGCCTTAGATCTGTATTATCTTGAGACAATATGTGATATGAAAGGAAAAAGTGCCTCAAAGAACCATTTTGCTATCTCGAGTTGATGGGTCTTTTCGGAATGATATTGCCTGTAATTTTCTCTACCCTTTGGGACTGTCATATGTCACTGGATGCAAACAAATGTTTAGATTAGGAAAGCTGGAAATTTCAGTATACATTTAGAGTTATTTTCATTTATCAAACGGCATTTTTCTTTCTAAAATAAAATTTTGATTTCTTCACTTGTTAAGAGCCTTTTACTTAAACACTTATCCAGGAGAGTTAAGATAACTTGGCTAAGGCAATTCTGTTAGTTTAGGAAAGAGCTAAGAATTTCTCTTTCTCTCTCTCTCCCTCTCTCTCTCTCCCTCTCTCTCTCTCTCCCTCTCTCCCTCTTTTTTCTCTCTCATATTTGTCATCTATCTATCTATCTATCTGTCTGTCTATCTGTCTATCATTTAATCTCTATCTCAATGGACAGATTCCGGCTTTGGGATACTTAAGAGAGCCAAGGTTCAGTGATTTTGCCCCCAAATCAAACTCATCATTACTCAAGTTGCTGAAGAGAAAATCTCTACAGCTTTTCATTGATCTTAAGGAGGTGAAAACTAAAACTCAAATCAGAGGATGTTACTGAAAGTTCCATTATCTCTAGTAAGAATGATGTCCAATGGTATTACCCCTTTTTGAAGGGGATATCTATTCTTACTTAATGTCTATTCTTAGTTCCGTAATGTAGTTACTTAGGATTTAAGGGTTTGGGTTGATGCCATTTGAGATGTGTGTGTGTGTGTGTGTGTGTAATGAATGATTCTAAACAGAGGGGGCTGCACAGAAGAGAGAGGAGCTACTAGAAAAGGGAGAAGGACCCCAGATGCAGTAGTAGGAGGAGGAGGAGGAGGAGGAGTAGGAGTAGTAGTAGTAGTAGTAGTAGTGGTAGTAGTAGTAGTAATAGTAGTAGTAGTAGTAGTAGTAGTAGTAGTAGTAGTAGTAGTAGTAGTAGTAGTAGTAGTAGTAGTAGCAGTAGCAGTAGTAGTAGTAGAATGGAACCAGCTTGAAGGGAAAAGTTATGAGTTTCCCACAGGGACATCTCAGCAGTTAGTATGGAGTTTTAGTCAACTTTAACTAAAGCTTGCTAAACTCAGGGACCTTAGAAATTTTCTAACACAACGTTCTCATTTTGCAGATGAAAAAATTGTCATCCAGAGAAGTTGTCACTTACCCAGCATCAGACAGCTGGTATGTGGCAGAGTGGGGCTTTGAACCCAGGCCCTCTGAATTCAAATCCATATTCTTTTGTACTACACAGTGCATGTCATCACTAATAATAAAATCCTGTATTTAATTGGCTTGATTATAGCATGTTGTATGGCTAAGCTTGTGATAAGGCAGTGGTACCTAACCTGGAGTACACATATCGCCCTCCCCCCACCTTTGGAATTATCAGAAGCCATTCAAGAGGGCATGAGAAATATTTGATAAATCATTATATTATCCTATTGAAATATTTCAAAAGTAACGGTGTTAGATGAAAAAAAAAGTTATATACCAAATAAAGTTTTCTTTATAAAATTAATTTCTTCATTTTATTTCATTTGTGTGTGTATATCCGGTAAACTGTAGAATTTATTTCCTTTCATAATGAATAGGGGGTAATGGAAGGTTTACTGATAATTAAGGGATATGGGGACTAAAAAGAAAAAGATTGAGCGCTAATTGCTAGAGATGTGGGTTCTTAACCTTTTTGTGTCATATACCTCTTTGATAGTCTGGTGAAGCCTATGGATTGCTTTCTCAGAATATGTTGTTTTTTCCCCCATTTATAATAGAAAAAAATGCTAAGTTTCAGTTACAGATTAGTGAAAAAAAAGATCTACAGTTTTTTTTTTCCCATCCAAATTCACAGCCCTCCTATAATCTATCCATCGACCCCTCTGGAGTCTGTGGATCCCATGTTAAGAATGCCTCTTATAGGTGAATTAATACTGAATTATCATTGATTGGTGCTTCCTTGATTAATTAGTGCCACTAAAACAATTTCTTCTAGATTCCAGTAGGTGCTTTTGGGGACACTTGTCCTCCTCCTCCTTATACTTTCTCTTTCATTGTGCTCAGGGCTGGGCATCAATAGCTTTCCTCATTAGGCTAATGACCTATCTATACATATCACTTTTCTCCTGAGAACACATGAACTCAGAACCTATTTGTATCAACATGTGGTTTAAATTGTTCCAACACGTGTTGTTTAAAGCATACATGTGATAAGTTTAAATTGCTGTTGTATTATCTAGATTAATTAGGACCTCCTAAAAAGGCCTAACAAGCCAAGATTAATGCTACATTTGTTGACAGTCTAGAGAAATTATTTGAATTGTTGTGCATCTTTCTTAGAGATGCTGATGGAACAGTTTAAAGCTCAATAAAATAATTAATCCTTAAAAAAATAAGTGCAGGGAATTGAGGAAAGAATCCCTGTTGAGTTATGTGAAATACTTTTATTGCCATTCACCATCATAGGGACCATTGTCTATAAACAGTGGAAACTTTGTTGAATTGCATTGAATTCCAGCATCAG